TGCCAGAAGGAGCAATCGGCGGCGCCGCCGGCCATGGTGCCCAAAATTCGGGAATTTATCCTCAAAACTTTGAGCACGGATTGGGAGGCGATGTAGGAACCGGCCGTGGCGCGGGAATCGACGGCAACGGTGACGCCGTGAGGGGTCTGGGGGGAAAAATGGGGAGAAAATTGGGGAATTTGGGGAAATTTGGGAGAATTGGAAAAAAAATAGGGATTTTAGAGAGAAAAATGGGGAAAAAATGGGGAGAAATGGGGAAAAATGGGGAAAGAATTGGAAAAAAATGGGGGAAAATGGGGGAAAATGGGAAAAAAATGGAGAAAAAATGGGGAAAAAGGGGGAAAAATGGGGAAAAAGGGGAAAAATGGGATTTTAGAGAGGAAAATGGGGAAAAAATGGGGAAAAAATGAGGAAAAATGGGCGAAAATGGGATTTTAGAGAGAAAAATGGGGAGAAACAGAAAAGAAATGGGGAAAAATGGGGAGAAAATGGGGAGAAATGGGGAGAATTGGGGAAAAAATGGGGATTTTAGAGAGAAAAATGGCAGGAAAGAGGTGAAACGGAAAAAAATGGGGATTTTACAAAAATGGAAAAAAATGGGTAGAAATGAGGGAAAAATGGGGAAAAACATGGAAAAAACAGGGAAAAAAATGGGGATTTTAGAGAGAGAAAAGGGGGGAAAATGGGGTGAAAGGGAAAAATAATGGGGAAAACCCGAAAAAAAAGAGGAAAAATGGGGAAAAAAAAGGAAAGAGAGAAAGAAAAGGAGAAAAAAAAAGGGGGAAAGAGGGGAAAAAAGGGGAAAAAAGGGAGAGAAAAAACAAAATATAAATTTTAAAGCATTTTACGAGTTTTTAGGGACAACCCCACCCCCTCCCCGGAGAATTTTGTGTTCCCCTGAGGGATTTTAGGGTTCAAAATTGAATTTTTGGGTCCTTAAATGGAATTTTTGGTTTCCCGTGAGTGATTTTAAGTCCCAAAATTGAATTTTTGGCTTCCCCTGAGGGACTGAAATGCCCCAAATGCAATTTTTGGCTCCCCGAGGGATTTTTGTGTCTAAAATTGAATTTTTGGTTCCCCTGAGAGAATTTAAAGCCCCAGATCGACTTTTTTTGGTCCCTTTGAGCCATTTTTAGGATCCCAAACTGAAATTTTGGAAATTTCCCACGCAAACGCCACTCCGACTCTCCCAAACACAATTTAACGCTCCAAAAAATTAAATTTTAGGGCGTTTTTCCCCTTTTTCCTCACCTTAAAAGCCAAAGTTGTGGTGCCGTGAAGCATCGCCAAACCGGGACCATCCGGAGCCGCTTCAAAACCCCACGGAGGAGCCGCCAAAAACCGCGGAGGTCCCGGGGGGTCCCGAAGGATTTGGGAAAATTCCTCGGAATCGTCGGGAAAAGTTTTTGGGAGCCCTAAAAAGGATTTTGGAAGATCCGAGCGGAGGACGCTGAGCAGCGCCATTTTGGGAGCGGGAGAGGCTGAGGGGGGGGCGGCAAAATGGCGGCGGGAAGTGAAGCCGCGCGGGCGCCATCTTTGTTGAGGGCAAATAGAAATGAATG